TTTTGTTTTATAAGTGTTGAAGTTTTTAATACTAATCAGTCTAATTGTTGTTTATATGCAATATTTGATTTTTATAACTATTAGCACGTAAATTTGAGTGTTTGTATTTTGATTTTGAATCGAGTGAGGGTGCAGCTACTTGTGATGACGAAACTAGCTTTTTGATACCATTAACATCAACTAGTCAGTCGAAGAAAAAGCTTGCTGAATATGAACATAATTTATCTGCTGATAGTTTTCCTCCCCTCAATATAAATTGGTAATTTTTATTTTCAGAATAAATTATTAGGTACAATATTTTTAAAGAATATAATTTTTCAGTTCGGCTCACAATATGTCTCGTACAATTAGTATGTCAGCACCAACTGCTTTAAACATGGATTATACCCAAGTAACAATAGAACATGATGGAGAAAAAATTATAAAGCCGATGCTCATTCAAAAGTATATTAGTGTTAAAAATGTTTTTATATTGCTTGTTTAGATTATATGTTACAAATATTTTTCAAGGGATACTCTTTTCAATGATAATAGCAATGTAGTTGAAATTGAAAAAAATGGGGAAGAATGGCATTCACTAAGCTGCATGTCTGATAGTACTGACCAAAGTGCTCCTGTTAATTTTGATATGTATAATCGAGTAAATATTCTTATGAATAACCTTACCTTATAATCTGTTACCTACTTTAATTAATAATAATGTTTATAGGCTAAACTACCCCGTGGTATTGAGAATATTCGACCTCATCTAGAATGTATTGACAATGTTCCACTTTTAGTTTCATTATTTACTGATTGTACCCCAGAAGCCACTAAAGAAATGATATCCATAATGCAGCAGTATGGAGAAGTTGTTTGTGTACTGGGATCATCTCCAAATGCTGAAAATATTGGTATATTTATGCAGGCTGATGCAAGGTAAATAGGTATTTATTTAAAATATGCAGATGCTTTATTTAATGATAAATACTCATTTTCTAAGGAAATTTGTAAAAATACATTTTTATATTGGGAAATTTGTAATATGAGTACTTGAAATTAAACAAAAATATTCTTTTCTTTAAAGATTCAACATTTAAAATAACTAAGAAAATTAGTATTTGTACATTTAATTTATCATTATTTATAAATATTAAACACATAAATTAATTAGTCTTGTTTTATTTCACTTGTATTATATTATTTATTACTATCTTTTGTAATCTAATATTTTGCATTTTCATTAAAAATTTTGATTTTTAATTTATCAGCTTTTAAAGTTTTGCCTATCTAAATTTTTTATACTCATGTGCTTATTTAAAATCTTATTTACTTTAAAAACTTAAAACTTAATATAAATTACTATGCATATTATTTAACTTATGATCATTGTTTTACTTTTTAATTATTATTTTAAGATAAACTCAAATACTCTAATAAAAAAAATCAATAAACAAAAATATATTATGTTATTACAATTTCAGTATATTTTCCGTTGACAAAATGAATCTAGTTGGTGAATACGCGAAATCAGGTTTTGACAAAATCAATTTTTTACGGCATCTCTAAAAAAACAACCTTTGATACATGAAATTTTCACTGAATGTTTATATTATCATTTTATCTACACCATTCGATTTTAAAAATATTTTGACTGATGTTGAGCCATTTATATGCTTATGAAGTTTTCGATTTTAATTAGTTTATTTTTGACTAATGTCTATAAAAAATGTTTGCTCCGAAAAAAAAAAATTGTAAATGCGAAGTGATGTTCCTAGTTAGTTGTTGTTTGTCAAAATTAATAAAAAAATAATTTACTGTTAATTCACAATGTTTTTTTATAAGCATTCAAAGTTAGTATACTTTTAGTCATGATATAACTAACTATTAGTTATATCATGCTTTTAGTATAGAGATACTTATATTTTAATAAGATTTGATTTTTAACAATCCATGTTACATGGATTGCCTCATTTATACTATAAATAGTTTCTATAATTATATTTACTGTTATCTTAACTAGCCTTGCTATTGAACCGATCTATCCACAAGTGTGTCAGCGAATTAGTATCATGCAACAACCTAGTCCAATAGATGCACCAATATCTCCAGTGGGTCTCTCTGAATTATTGAATTCTCTTCCTTGTTGCCTTTCACTTAATCGTCAAGATCCATTACCAGTGTACCATCTTATTATGGAAGTAATTGATTAAAAATAAGAATATTTATTAAAGTAATAATCAGTAGTTCAACGTCTTAATTTTATTTTATTTCACAGGGAAGATATTTAATGCAAGGGATATGGAACTGTATTCAATTTTGGACTAGTTGCATGGTTTCGCTTAGTTTTCTTCAACTACTTGCAATTGCTCTTGTATTACCTCCTATTTTATCAGTCGGTTTGTAATTTATTTAATTTAAATTTTATAGTTCCTGAAACTACTACAAAAGCTTCTTTTTTTTTAAGTTTTATTTTATATTGAAAATAACTGCACTAAAATAATTTTTATTTTATTGTTATTTTCTTTGTAGATAAGCTTTTATTTTTTTTATAAAAACTAATTTTGTATTTATGTTGACATCATACAACATACAGGTCTAGAGCCACACAAAAATGGTTTTAACTCAATGATTAAATATATTTTCAATCATAGTTATCATCTCATACCACCACAGTGAGCATTACTATTATAGATGTGAACACTCTCTTTCAGAATTATGTTTCATCAGTACCCAGTGGACTATGATGCATAACTATTTTTATGTTGCCGTCGGTGGTTATAACCCCATCACACTATTAAAATCGTTTTCATTGCAATTTTTTACTTCAATTATTTAACTATAGTTTATATTTTAATGTTTTAAAAATTCAAGTATAATTCTGTTTACTTACTGAATATTCAATCTTAATAAGAAATTGTAATTTATCTTTAGGTCAAATTTTGTGGCTCACATGTATTGTTGTGCCTCTACTGTCAGTATCTTTAGTAGGAGGTCCAACAGATCCTGAAGTTATGCAAAAACCAACTGGAAAAAATCAATGTTCAATTACATCTGAAGTAAGTTAAATTTTTTATCATTTAAACTTTTAATATTAAATTACATTATATGTATGATTAAAATGTTTTAGTTGTCATATTACGTAATGTGGTTTTATGGCCTGAAATTTTTACCTGTTGCAATTAATATGGTGTTGCTGTTTATATGGTCACTGAGTCAAGCTTGTGATTTGATTTTATCTAATACTTATAATAATTCAACTATTGAAACTCAACAATGTTGGTATGTATACCCAGATCCTAAAGAAACTGAATGGGGAGGTTGGTCAAAATTTGAGCCTACTATTATCAGTATACAAAGATTAATGTTGCTTTTCCTTGTGATGCATTACGGTAATTACTAATTAATATTTTAAATCTTAGAAGAACAAATGTAATATTTATTAATATTTGATATTGTCTTACAGTTACCATATCTTTAAGTTTTGTTCATCGAGATTATTTGCTTTGGAAACGAACTATACATTTAAATAAACCTTATTTGTTTACTTCATTGATCATGTAAGTTTCAAAATATAGGTACTAAAAAAATATTATTATATGTTAAATATATTAATTAAATATATGAAAACAGTATTCTAGTTCAATGGGCATACACAATTCATTATGAATACTTTGGTAGTATTGAAAATAATATTAGTATTTCCAAACTATCTGTATTGACTTTTATTATTGGGTTTGTATCTTTGTTCCTGGTTTTCATTATTAACGAGATTGTTCATTGGCAAGAGATAAGGTTTGTTTATTATAGATACCTTTGCCAATACTTTCATTACAATTAATTACATATTATTACTATAGGTTGAATGTGCGTTACCAAAAAAGAGCAAGATTAGACTTTGGAACCAAACTTGGTATGAACTCTCCTTTCTAAAATAAGATATATTAATTATTAATTTATTTTCCATGTTAGTTGACGTTAGGTTACAAGTAGCTAATGTATGTGATATTAATATTGTTATTAATTGCATTAGACTGAACATTAAAGAGTTCTACTTATATTATTTTTTGTAAATGTTTTAAATAATGTAAGTTTACTAAATAATTTATACTAATTTAATATTTATGCTTATTTTTAGTGCTTAAAAAATACATCATTAATTTTACTATTAGAATAATGATTGTTATTTACTTAAAATACACGTCCATTTTTACAGTTGAAATAAAACTTTTAACTAAAATGAAAACAGAATTAAAAATTTGTCTAAAAATGACTTCTGATATCAATAATACTGTAAACCTACTCCAAATAACATACAATCAGCTGTCTGAGAATCAAAAGTATAACTACTTTCAAGAAAGGTAGGTATCAATTAATCTTCCTATTCATATTAGCACCCTTATATGACTGAAATTATATTCAAGAGCAGCCTGGCAACATTCCAGATACCTATTCAATATACGCCATTAAAATTCACTTACACTCAAACATTATATTGCTAACCATAGATTTAAATTCCATGTATTTTATACATCATCAATTACACATAATTATGGTACTGGGTATATTTCTACAAAAAATAAAAAAACAAAAACGTATTTACAAACACTATAATTCTCTCTTTCAAAATCTACTTTAATATTCATAAATAAAAGAAATCTATTATATTCCTCACACAAATAAATAGTGCAATACTCAGATTATTTTACTTCCCAATCTTCTAAAAATATTCTTCCACAGTTATGATATTAAAACCCAAAAAGCTTTGGGATTTCTTATTGACCAATCAATCTCTCCTTCCAATACTTTCCAAGGCATTTGAAAAACTGTTATTGATACATATTTTGCTAAAAGTCAAAGTTTACTTTACCAAACTTACAATTTGGAGTCTCCTATGCAATAGCTTTTAATTTTTAGATATATATAATCTAATTATTTAAGTTTGAATAATGCAAGTCAGGATTTCCTAAAATTTTACTGTTACCTACCAAATGATATAAAGTACTGAAACATAATAGATATAATTTTAGGAAGAAGACATTATATTATATAGGTATCTAATGATAGTAACCACCATTAGATTAATATTTCCAAAATATCTAGGTGGTATACCAATACAATATTTCAATTTTATAATTACAGTTGCAAAACATTGGAAGCCACTTAAAGTTACAACATTGCTTTAATTATTTTATATGAATAAATATTTTGAAAATATATTAATGATTGAAAAATACAGTTTCAATATTTATTCATCACTATCTAGCATGGAATCAAGCCAATGCTCTGAATCATGAATCGTCGTTTCAATTTTATTATTATCTTTAATGGGCATCATTTGATTTTCAACTGTTATTGAGTCAGCTTCACTAGTATCTAAAAAAAAATAAAAATTTCATTATAAAAAATCAGATATTTTTTATAAAATTAAATGTTTATTGTACCTATTTTAGGAACGGTATTTATTTCATCTTGTAGTATGTTGATTAAAGGTTTCATATTTCCCAATATTTCTTCTAATTCTAGATTCGGTTGAATTTCATAGTCAAAAGGAAGATTATTAACTTCTGTAACGTCTAAAATTATAATATTTGTTTTAACTGATATATGAACAATTTAAAATAAATAAATGTAAATTGATATCAAAGTAAGGATGAAGTAATAAAGTTATTCTGTGTTATTTAAAATTCAGATCTTTAATTAGAATTTAAATAATACTTAAAAATACATATACAATATCCTTAGTTAGAGGAATCAATTGTTTAAGTACTGCTTGAGATATAAAATTCCGGTATTGATAAAAATCAAACATAATTATTTTAAGACAAAAACTTAATTATTCAGAATAAAAAAAACTCAAATCTAACATTTTCTAAAATTATTTTGGTATTATTTAATTTATAAATATACATATCATTTATAGTGTACCAATAGCAATTCCTATACCAATTGTATTATTATTATTTCAAGATAATCAATACATATTATAGATTATATATAGGTATTAATATGATAAATAGATTCATTTTGTTAGTAATCTCTGAATTTATATTACCTGAATTAGAATAATTTTTCAAAATCAATTTACTTGTATCAGTGGACGCTTGATTACTTCTCATAGGAGTTGGCAAGACAGTATTAATATTTAATAATTTTGAATTACATAGTGCTAAAAATAAAAATATATACATTAATCTATAATATACAAGATTATTCATAAAATAAGCCCAATCCCTATCTTTTTCAATAATGCAGTTATTCAAAATCTGATATTTATAAACTATTATCCTTGATACAAACATTTTAATAACTGAAAAATTATTCATTAGAATTTTGGATTGAGACATCAGATTTTCCAAAAATATCTACCAAATAATTTACAACTAAAAGGGGGATTCTCAAATGAAAAGGTTTTATTTATTTATAATTTTTATAATTAAAGGAAAAAAATGGGGGTGAGCTTTGAGGATGCATGGTGATTCACTCTGTATAATTCAAGGGCAAATTAAAAAGTAAGTTGAATTGTGGCATATGTTTTGCAACATACTTTTTGATTGTCCCTTGTATATCAATTTGRAAATATATTCTAAAACAAAAATAAAATCAACGCCTCTACTCACCCAGATGCATTCTATGCAAGTTCTCAAAACTATCCCTCAAAACCAAAATGCATATCTATAATCTCCTTCTAAAACCCATTTGGCCGTACGGAATACAGCTCTGAGGCACTGCCAAAATATCAAATACAAGAAAAATTCAAGCGTTACGATTAAAAATCCTCCGACTCCTATCTAATGCTTCTTCTTATGTCCCCAATCATATTCTTCACACAGATCTTCCCATTCCTAAAGTTGAAACAGCCAAGTTGAACAACTCCAAATTTAAATATTGCCTTCAAAATCACACTATCCTCATGTCAAAAATTTACTATCAATCTCCATCCCTGGGAAACCCTCCTAGAAGACTCAAGCAACAATAGCCCTGTGTGACCTTATCTTATAAACTAAATAAACAAACACATGAATATCTAAATAATTGTAAGTTCACGTCGAAGTACCTTCCTGGATGGTTCTTCTCTCAAGCCACTCAAGCCACTGCACTAAGAGATAAAATCCATTATTCTTATTGTACATTTTTTTTTTCGTATAGATAATATAATTTCTACTTAAAAAAAAAAAAATTATTCTAAAAGAGTAAATATTTTGTATTGATTGAACATATTATTTACATACATATATGTCGGCTCAAAGCAAGAGATGATTCTACTTCAAATTCTTCTAATTGCTCCACCTAAATTTAAATTTATTAAGATTTTAATTAAATACCAAAATATTAATTAAACAAATTTTATTTATCATACAGTAAATAGTTCAACAGGTATGTCATGTTGTATATTAAATGGCACACTAGCTATACTTGCAGCTAAATGTTTCATATCAATAGAACCAAATATTCTACAATCTTCTTGTTCTACGCCCCAATTTTTTTCTGATGAAAATTCAAAATGACCACCACCTATAAAATCAAATTAGTTGATCAGCCACTAGACAATAGTAATAACATTTTGTAGTTTGTACACTGAGAAAGAATATCCAGTGATGATTTTTTAGGTAAGTTACTGTTTGTGATCATAAATTAGGTATTTTTTTATAATATAAAAAATAAAAAAATAAAAATCCACTACAATAATTATAATTTATTAAGTACTTATGCAGTAAACATTTATATCTGTACAATTTATATAATATGAAGTAGTACGCTCATAAATCATACACTAACAGTGGGATTCAAGACACTTTTTTTTTACTTTTACATACTAGGTGCGCAAATTAAGATATATATATATCTTAATTCGTGACTAGGTGTAACGGAATGATCTGTCAAATTTAATAACTTTTACTCTAAATTATAAGCAATATTCATAATTTTCTTATATATGATTCATAGATGTCATTGCTTCAAGAACAGTCAGCATTTTTAAATACTGAAATCAAAAAAATATAACTTTTTTGGAAAAATTTTAATAATAAAAACTTTTGCAGTTTTTTAAAAATATCAATATTTTTTTTTCATATGGTTAAATATTATATATTTTTCATTATTTCTTTTTAATGTGTTTCAGTACACTCTGTATTTGTAAGTTTTTTTTTATTGTTTTAATTTAACTTTTTGATTTGTAAGATAGGTAGGTGGTTTTTATTAAGTGGACAGTTTAGGTATCTACCAATGTGGCTTTAGAGATATTGAAAAGTTTAAAAATATTTAAATATCGGTATGTTTTTTAAAGAGTAACAGAATATAATAATATAAACATATCCTCGCTTAAATAGAAATTAAGTTTTAAAAGATTAGGAACAAAGAAAAATACGATTAGCAAAAAGCTAACTAAGGCCCCGAAATATAATAAGAAAATTATTATTTTACCTTGATAAACGTTAGTACTCGAACTATGAGGATCGGTCATATTGATAAAATTCTATGGTTTACTCAAACGACGTTTATAATAGGACTAATCGATAGACGGTAATTCCAAGATTCCATAATTTCCATTTATGCTATAACTCGAAACGACGGATACACGAACAGCTAACGAGTAGGAGTAGGTTCCCTGTTAATGAAAAATAAATGAGAAATGACTAATCACTAATAAGTAATTACTCTTATTTAGTAAAGGCTCAACGGTCGTAGCCTCGTAGGTATTAGGTAATAGTTCCAATTTCCCATGACAAAATACTAAATAGATCTATTTTCTCTTGCTATCATTTATGGATGGCGGCAGCATAGAGTAATATATTATACCCCCATGATACTCTATGGGGGGCAGTTTGTAAAATTACTAAAGTTGGCTTTGTAGTTTGTGATAAAAATTCGCACCTGTGATGATAAATTGTAGCTGATAACCTTAATCAAGAGCACGATTTAAGATATATCTTAAATCGTGATCAAGAGTTAAAATTCTAACCGCAAATAAAATATCAACACTTACGGTAATATTGTTCATCGTTCATGTCATATAATTTTTTTTTTTTTTTTTTTTCAAAGTTTATTAAGGCTTCAACAACACTGGTTTTTAGCCTACTTTAGTTAAAATTTATACAAGAAAAAGAAAGGAAAATATATATATGTATACATTAAATTTTGGAATACATTTTACTACATTATTATAGTTATTATTTACAATGGGTATTTAGTGTTTATATTATGGAAAAACGTACTGATTGCAACTGTGTTTTCATCTTTGAAGGCTGTCATATTGTTATTGTCGATAATTTTTTCATATTTTCCGCCCCAACTAGATAACAAATATTGGCAACACTGGTGAGGACGTACCACTGTTCAGTAAAGTTGTAATTATTGTAGTAAGTAAGTAAGTTGTGGTCCAATCTTGGTCGTAACAAAATAATAATAAAAGTAACGATAATAATAATAAACATCTGCTATGCGATACGATACTATACGATACGAATTACGAATCTATGATACGATATGATTACTGAATATTATTTATTTTCCTTATTAATAAGCTCGTTGCTCAATGCTATGAATGCTATTCGGATTCGGAATCCACTGACGACATCAGCAACTCCATACACTATTTAGCAATTATTATTGTCAATAATTGTATCTTAACTATAAATAAAAATAATATCACTTTTGCGCAGAAACCCTGACGAAATTGATTGAAATTATAACATCGAAATATTATGTTGAGTGACGGAACTTGGCCGAAATCCGAAACTCTGTTAACCGCGTCCGTTCACACGCCTTGCTGACTTATCGTGTGCGAAATCGTCTGGTTTCATTTTCAATCGATCTTTTGTGTCGCTTTACTTTATGAAATGGTGCGAAACGATCTATATATCATGCCATAAACGTGTGATTGAGTGATCGTAAGTCGGCAGTACCGGTATCGATGGCCGATGCTTACCCAGCCGTGTCTCGTCGCATCGCCGCCGTCGTATGATCACCATAGCGATTGACAACGCCGTCTATTGAATCATTGTGATTCATATTTAAATTCGGTTGTGTGAACGACGGTATTCTCGAATGTAATGGATAATCAGAAAGTATGTAAATCAAAGTTCAGAAGAAAACGAAAGGCGGCTCGGAACGTAACGTTTTGCATGAAAACAGAGAGAAATGCGTCGAATAAAAAAGTAAGAATGATTGCACAATGTTACTGAGTAGCATTGAACCTAACCCTGTCGACAGTGTTTTGTTTTGTGTATTTTTTATTTACTTGAGAAAGGGAGATAAATGACAATTTTTGACTTTTGCGCATTTGTTAATTGTTTTTGTGGTTGAAATTTCCAACAACTTGTTAAAAAAAAGGTATCTAAATATACATTGTCTATATCAATAATTTATCACCAAGTAGGTACCTACCTATACTTCATTTAAGAAATGAATTTGCTTACTTACCACTATTGAAGTTAGTCAATCAAAAGTATTAAGTATATAGTGTTTACCTAAGTTAAAAGCTTTTAATCAATGTAATTCTTTATATTTGAGAATTGATATTAGTCTGATGGACTTACCACTAACCGATTAATAAAACACTAATCATATCATGGATAAATGTTACCTTTCATGATTAATAAATTGTTTTATTGGTAACTGACGTTGTTAAAAGAAATTAAGGGATTTTGATTATTATGTACACATATCACTATTTATGACATTTATTTGTTAATATGATGATGTCAAAACAACAAAATACTTAAATCCATGAGGAATATTTACAGATATTAGAAATAATTCAAAAACCATTATCGGAGAGAACAATTGATGACAAAGAAATTCTTAACACATGTAAGGATACAGTACAGAAGATATCTCAAAGGTATTTAATTTTGTACTACTTTAATACCTATTTTAATTATTAGTTTTATTTAAGAATTTGAACAAATACATTTTAAATTAGTCTCATTACAGTTTTCATTTTGTTATACTTCATCTTTTTTTTTTTTTAAATTGGTATAATAATTGTGTAGAATGCTATGACAAATTACTTTTTACTAGTTTTATATTTTTAAAAATTCTGAATTCATTAATACAGATTTTAGATTGTTCAATAACTAATTATTTTTTATCCTATATAGTAACCTGTATTAAATTATTTTATGTCTAATTAGGTAAGTATTAATTAAGTAAACAAGATTTAATAATTTAAATAAAAATAAACAATAAGTAAATGGTCCAGCTTATTCCAGGCTTATGTTGTAATAAATGAAAAAAAAATAATAACTAATTAATTAATATTGATTTATTTATTTTCTTTTTTTAGGTTAGATAGACAAAAGAAATTAAAAGAGAGATGTCAAGAGTTTGAAGATCCAATTGAAGTACAAGATTCAAAATGTGAAGAACTTGCTAAGGCTATTTTGTCTGCATCAAATTTAGTTGTGTATACAGGTGCTGGGATAAGCACAGCAGCTAAAATACCTGATTATAGAGGCTCAAATGGAATATGGACATTATTAGATCAAGGAAAAGATATTGGGTGTGTAACATTGTACTATTATGAGAAATTATTTTAAAAAATCTGGTTTTTTTTCATTTATAAAATTTGTGTCCTGAGATTTAAAATGTACCTATATGAAAACAATTAATTTTTTTATTCCTCTCCAAMGCCTTTCTCTGTTATAAGATCATTTTATTACTGTAAAATCTTTAGAAACTTTTGTTTTATTAAATTGAAAAATATTATATTATTATTGAAATATCTTAAATTAAAATAAGTGATAACTAAAGAGCTTATTTACATTAATTAAAAGCCTAGAAATGTGTACTAAAATTCCTTAAATATGCAAAAATATGTGCTATAAACTTAAAAGATCAAATTAATATTTTTTTTTGTTATATTAATCGTCAAATTTTTGTTTATATCACCATCACTTCCATACAATAAATAAAAATGCGCACTTTAAAATAATCTCAAATGCTCATAATTAGACAAAATATTAATTTAATAACTCCAATTGGATATTTGCTTAAAAAACTCAGATTTTTCTTAATCTTTTTGTGTTATTTTACTTTTGAAAACTACCGGTAACTTTTAAATACTGATACCTTAAAGTACCAACTAGGTTCATTTTCTACCAGTAAATATGCTGAATTTTTACTGCCCCTAAAGATGATTATTGTAATATTGATATATTCATCAATCCACTTAGAATCTAATAATTTTTGTACCTTCAGGCAGTCCTGGATAGAACCAGAGAGTTACTGAACTCAACTATCTACAGTAAGTTTAGTAATAATTGTTAAACATAATCGTTCTCCTCTATTTTAATAAGTACCTTGTACCTATATCCTTTATAAAGAAGTAATGATCATGCTGCCCCAACCATGAATCGTGTTTTTAAACATAATAAGAAGGCAAACTATAGTACACATTTCAACATCTGTTAGCTTATTTTATAGTTATTTTAAGTACTAAGTCCTAGCCCTGAATATGAGTGTTTAAACTCTAAGTCTATATATTAATTATTTTTATTTTAGTAGTGTCCTTTTCTTTCTTATCACTTCTTTAGTCCTTCCAAGGAAAATATTTCATTGAATCTACGTTTACTGTCTATGATTTTTTATATTTTGTTTATGATATTATAAACTTTTAATTTGAAGTGCTTTCTAATAAATCAAACATTTTATTGTATCTATTTTTATTTAATTGCCGTTTTTTCATGATTTATTTTAGAACACTACACAGAGTTTATAATAATGAAATAATAAATAAAATTTTTTATGATTAAAATGTTATATATATATAGATTATAGGTTGTAATATGTGTATTAATATTAAGATAATAATTATTAATTTAGATGTCACGACTTGAGCCAAGCAGAGCCCACATTAACACATATGGCATTATATCGATTATACCGTGAAGGATTACTCGGACATGTCGTGTCTCAAAATTGTGATGGGTTGCATTTAAGAAGTGGTCTACCAAGACCAGCATTGTCAGAAGTTCATGGTGATATGTTTATTGAGGTATTTGAGATTTTATATTACCTATTTTTTTTTATTATATTTGTGAACATATAAATTAAGATGAAATATTAATTTATAGGTTTGTAACAATTGTAAGCCAAACAGACATTATTTACGAATGTTTGATGTGACAGAACATACAGCAAGATTTAATCACAAAACACTGAGGTTATGTTATGCTTGTCACAAACCGTTGAAAGATACAATTGTTCATTTTGGAGAACGTGGTAAACTTCAGTGGCCAATTAATTGGTCAACAGCTTGTAAACATGCTGAAAAAACTGATGTGATTTTGTGTTTAGGATCCAGCTTAAGGGTAATATTTACAATGGTTGAATTTTATGGATTTTGATGGTTGTCTAAAGGAAAAATGGAATGGAATTATGTACATTTTAAATTATTTAGATTTTTAATGAATTTATTTTGTGATTAGTGTTTGAAAGATATAACTTATAGTACTATAATTCCAGTTTTTTTTTAGTGAACTAAAAAAAAATTGTTTTACATCATAAAAATTCTAAATATTTAACAATAATAATTATAAATATATTATATTAATAGGTTCTGAAAAAGTATCCATGGCTTTGGTCAATGGACAGACCAGCTAAGAAAAGACCAAAATTATATATTGTAAATCTCCAATGGACTCCCAAGGATGACCATGCTACACTAAAAATAAATGGTACAATAAATTACTTTTATCTGATGTTAAAAACAGAATAACAAATTGGTACAATAATGAAACAATGTTATAGGTAAATGTGATGAGATTATGAAAAAAGTAATGTCGATCTTAAACTTGGATATTCCTAAGTATCAACGTTGTCTTGATCCTATATTTCACCATGCCACAATGTTAGTAGCTGCTGAAGAACATACAACGGTACATCCTGTTTTAGCAGTTCCGACTGATGATGTTCAAAAAACTGATTCAAATACAGTAACAAAGTGTGAAAAAATAGAATTAGATATTAATAACGATGTAATTATTACCAAAATGTGTTCAGGATCAATAGACCTAATTAAACCAGTTGATCTCAGTTTAGTAAAATTAGAAAATAATACATCCACAGTTGATCAAAGTGAGTCAATTAATTCTCCGTCGTGTTCAAATATGGATTTTGTTCCAAGTTTAAGTAATTTTTGGAGACCTTTTATTGAAGGTGTGGATCAAAATTCATTGGAAGGTCGCAATATGCTATCATTGGTTGAACCAATAGTACCATATTTAAATCCATTTTTCATCAATAATATGGAAACTTTAGGATTGTCTCCGACACCTGTTGATCAGTTTTACAAGAATTTTGTATATCAAGCATGTATAGGATTAGCTGCAGTTGAAAAATTGCAAATAGAAAAAAAGCTGACAAATAATTTAAAAAAAAAGAAAAGTGATATTAGTGAAGATAAAGATATTAAAAAAACAGATGTTTCAATAAATCGATATTGCACATTTTGTCATCCAGTTTATGGTTCAACCAAATGTCTGTTTTATCATCGATATGAATCGAAGTTCAAAGATGATGTAGCCATTAATTGTCTGTGTTGTGATGATGATGATACGGATGAAGAAGACGAAAATGAACTAAAAACTGAAGACATGGCTGATAAAAATGATGAGGTTATAGAAAAGGCCAAAGTTACTGCTGGCTGGTTTGGGAAAGGTTACAAAAAAAGAATAAAAAAAAAGAAATAGGTATGATTATTTATTTTGATATTTTTTCTCATTATTTCTTTACCTTCCAGTATTTAAGTTAAGCTATAATTTATATTGAAAGGTTGTATATTTCTAAGAATATAATAGTATAAGTATCCATTTGGCAACCTTCATTTTTTATGTTTACTTGGGCATACCGTTACTTATATTATATTTTTTATATTAAAATTATGTTAAGGATAATTGGTTTAGTTTGTTTTAATTTGAAATTTGAAACTATTCTTGCCTGTCCGGTGTTTTTTATCATATTTTCAATTTTTACATTCTTCTGTTAGATTTATGATTATTTAATAATTATTTCATTTTCACTATCGTTACTGTATTAGAGAAGTAATTTTTCTAATAAGATTTAAATGTGTTTTACTGAAGTGCAATAATGATTTGTTGTGATTTATTCATTTCTAACTTTTACTATTATTTATTTATTAATGATTTTTTTTTTTTTTTTGTGTTTTTACAGTTTTGCTAGGTAATAATAGTCATCTAATTTGTTTCAGTTACATTTGTACTAAATATTGTAATTCATAGAATACACACAAAATATTGTTTTGAACAAATTGTTCTTTTCAACCTATTGATTTTTATTGGTAATCATTTATATACAGTGAGTTCCGCTTAATGTGATCACATTGGTGCAGGTTATTTTAATTCTATTAACCAGTTGATTTTTATAAAACTTTTTTTTTCTTTTAATTTAATTTTAGATTGGAATGAATGCATTGTAATTTGGTTTTTATAATATATTGTTAAATAACTTGGAAGTTATCAAAATTAATGCGGCTTATCTTTGAGCTCATTTTATCACCTTATCGAAATAGTAAACATTTTTTCCAATTGAAGGACGTTTCAGTTTATTGTACGCCATGCAAGTAAAATGTTTCAGCAGAAATTGCAAGTATTATACTGAATGAGTGGATGTATATTGCTATATGGACATACTGATTGGTTTAAAAATACAATCTCATTCTTAATACTTGTACCAGGTGTTGATATCAGTGTCACATTTATGGAAGGAATATGGCCGATATGGGAGATGGATCCTCCCTTAGTCTCTTATTTGTTACTTATTTATAATATTGTGTTGTCGATGGTAAGTGAGCTATTCCCTCTCCTAAGGGAAATTAAATGTTTGGTGACTTATATTCCCCATTGACAAAATCCTAAATATGCCACTGGTTGGTATCCTATCATAATCAGTTTGAAAATCCATAACATTTTTGTTAATAAATGTTATTTTAATCGAACTTCAATTTAACTTCTGTAATATAATATTTGGTTTGGGTTTATCTTTTTCCATTTGGTTGATTCTTAAACCAGTGATCACATCTAGCAGAATTCTTCGTATAGGCAATATAATAAATTAGTATTTTTCTAAGTAATTATAATATGAAACTAATTAACTGAAATAAATTTTAAAGTCATTTCATAGCATATATATATTGAAATATATTGTGTATTATTTATTACAACTGGCATATTGAATATAATGGACAAATATTTACAAACGTATATTCTAACCATGCTACTCAACCAAATGTAAAATGTTTTAATCTAATATGAGATATTTTCATATTTTATCATGTACATTATAATTATAATTTACAATATTATTGACCTCATGACTGCATTAAAATATTATGGTGGAAAAACATTCCACACTTTATTAGTGTTTTATGTTTTGTCTACATTTAGTAGTTTGTTTTGAGGGGTGTATTATTTGATTTAATCTTGACTACATAATTAGTTTATTAAGTTTATTAGATTGGATGTTCACATTTGATATTGATATAATTATCATTTGTATGTATGAAAGTAAATGTAACATAAATAAACTTGTACCTATATTAATTATATTATTAATTATGTACATTTAAAAACCATCTATACATACTATACTTATCCCCCCCCCAAAAAAAAAAAAAAAATTTAAAAATTTAAAAATAAAAATAATATGTATACTGCAATGCAATTTAATTAAAGAATCTGTTAAAAGCTCAGTTCTATACAATTAAAGTATTATTAATTGTGCATGATAAAAATCAAAACTGATCATAGATAGGTATTAAGAAACAGGTATGGATGAATAATTGGTAATTGTTTTCCACCATTATTTCCTGTATTTTTTTTCATTTAACGTGTTATGAGATTCTAGAAATAATGTGAAACAAGCATGACCTCATAATGCCAAACAAAGTCTCATACAGTTTAATAAATWAATTAATTTTAATGTTAATTTTTAATTATTATTCAATTTGTAAAAGCTTTCCCGTTTGTCTATCCCCTTGTTGGCCTCATCTATATAATTAATGGAATTAGATTTTGAGACCTCAAATCAATGGAGATAGTTGATGGACCTCTACTTTTTAAAATTATTCCCTTGCTCTTTAGGTATCCAAATATTTATTTTATTCAGAGTTCTGAAATTCATGACAAACTACCAAGTCTACAATCCTGTAACTCTACCATTTACTTTTTAATCCTTACGCTACTTACAAGTCATTGAATCACCCACCGTCTTAAACAATGTATTCTACCTATTTAATTTATTTCTAATTTATCCTGATCTATAACTGTATTTAACTGTTAAAAAGCATTAGTTATTGATAAAATGTTATCTATTTGTAGTTAAACTGAGTAAGATTGTCTTAGGTCCATAATAAGTATGTATATTATAAACCTATAAACAAATGACCTTAGTGGCTTGGTCCATAGGGCATAGATATAATACTATATTAGCATATTATACAGGATGATTAACCAAATATGTACAATCCCATTTTTTTTCTAATTATTAAATTTGTTGTTACTACTCATGGAATATCCTGAGGCGAAACCAATTTCTTTTTTTTTCAAATGAGAACCCTCTTTTTTACTGTGAATTATTTATTGGATAACTTTTTAGATGTACCTAATTTGAAATTCGAATGAGTAGTTTCTTAGTTATTAAAATGTATGTTAAAAGTATGCACTGAGAATAAAAATTCTTAAAAAGAGTCTTACAAAATATAAAATAGACATAAAATAATTGGATCTACTAATCTAGTGATTATTATTCTTGCGCCATCTCTACAAATTATTAATATTAATGACTAAAGTTTTCAAGTCACCATTATAGACTTCAAATTTTATTAACCCATTACTATGGATCTTTTATCCTTAAAGAACATAAAGTTAAACAACTCAAAAATTATACATAATATAATTATTTATTGTTGAATAAGGGACAAGGGTGTTCTCATTTGAAAAACAAAAGTTTGTTTCTCCACAGGACATTCCTTAAGTAGTAAACAAAATCTCAAGAATGTGAAAATATGGTCTTAAAGTGAATTAAAAACTTCAAAAAATCAGATTTTAAATAATTGCATTATTGTATAAGAATATAGAGCATGCTTGGTAGTGTATGGCTAAATGGCTTAAACTTTTCTAGATCTATGAATAATAGTAACATAGTTTAAATTTTTAATAAATTCATGATAACAGAGTAACTGCCAGTACCAGAAGGCAGAGATCACCATTCACTAATCTGTTAATCAATAATCACTAATGAAGTTATGAAACTACACAGTAGCTGTTGCTTGATTTGAATTATTTCATTAGTATGATAATTTTTTTTTTTTGTACCTTTTTAGTTTTTACACTTATGTAATTTACCTTCAACCACGTATTTTGATTATCACTTCCAGATAAAAGTTATTTATTTATTAAAACTGATAAAATTAAACATGACATATTATCACATATTATTATGTCTTGAACATTAGTTCCTTCATAAGTATCCTTAATTCATTTACCAACTATTATAAAATTGAAACTTGAATTTAAATAATTGATGCTTATTAGTAAAAAGTATTAAGTAATTAACCAAAACGTTTGTAAATTTATAGTTTGTGTAGTAATAATTGTCATATTAAAATGAGTTTTCATACTAAAATAGTATTGATTACCGGTGCTAGTTCAGGAATTGGTGCGGCAACTGCAATACACTTTGCCAAGTTGGGAGCAAAACTAGCACTTACTGGACGCAATCTTGTCAATCTACAAAATGTAGCCGATCAATGTGAAAAGAGTTGTTCACTAAAACCGTTTGTGATTACTGGTGATCTGACCAACGAAGATGATACTAAACAAATTTTGGATTCCACTATTTCACATTATAATCAACTAGATGTCTTAGTAAATAATGCAGGTATTTTAGAAAGCGGATCTATTGAGTCTTCATCCCTTGAACAGTATGATCGGGTAATGAACGCTAATGTGCGATCCATCTATCATCTAACCATGTTGGCTGTTCCGCATTTAGTGAAGACTAAAGGTAACATAGTAAATATATCCAGTGTAAATGGAACCAGATCTTTTCCTAATGTATTAGCATACTGCATGTCAAAAGCAGCAGTGGATCAATTTACAAGATGTGTGGCATTGGAATTAGCACCAAAAGGAGTTCGTGTGAACAGTGTTAATCCGGGTGTTGTAGTAACAAAACTTTTAACAAGACAAGGAATGAGTGAAGAGGATTATTCAGCATTTTTGGAAAAAACCAAATTCACGCATGCTTTAGGAAGACCAGGCACCGTCGAAGAAGTTGCCAAAGCAATTGCATTTTTAGCTAGTGATGATGCTAGTTTTACAACTGGCGAATCAATTTTAGTTGATGGAGGAAGACACGCTATGTGCCCAAGATAAAATATTTATTTTATAAATTGCCAATTCAGCGAAGAAAGATCGATGACACAACACCTCAGATTGCGTTTCTGAATGCCTGAGTAACAAACCTCTAAATATCTTCAACACATTAAATTTTATCAAGGATACTAATTTATATAAAACTATTTAACAAAAAAAAGCAAAAAAGTACATTTTATATTGTTATTTAGTTTTTAAATCTTTCACTATATTTTTTTTCTTTTGCATTCTTATGTATTTACCTTATTATCTATATATTTAAACTTTTATATTAGTCTCATGTAATACAGAAATTGCGGCCAATGACTTTTGTAGTCGAGGTCTTTTATGTAAAAAAAAAATTTATATATATATAGTTATTCGTGTGATTCAATAGTAAATAATTTTCATTTGTTTGTTTATTATACATATAGTAAAGAAATTTTTTTATAAAAAGCATAAATGGTCTATATATATATATATATATATTATAAAAATAGATACATATTATCCAGGACATAATGAAACTTAAATAAATATATTATTATATCTGTTAGTGAAGAAAAATGAAAGTATTTATATTATATATAATTTTTATTTAAAAATTTAAAATATATTTCAACCATGGTTTAAATGTACAAGATTGTAGGTAGGTATTGTTATTAAACAAAATAAAATGTCTTGAATATAGGTCATTCCCTTTATGCTGCTATTTTAATTCCTTAACGTCATAAAATGATATAGAAATAACCCAGTATATTTTCAAGCCATGGTTCTATTATAATTTTACTAATACGATGAAATTATGACAATAGGTACCTATCTATATTCTATATTAAGAGTACGTAACAGTGATACTTGTTGTCTCCGTCTTACCAGTGCGTAATATAGCAAATTTACGCTCAGCAGAACACTTGTAGCTCCTTAAGTATAAAAATTACAGTGAATCGGCCTATTATAAAAGTGTATGGTAAGTACTTTATTTGTGTTTGTACGTTGGTTTTTTTTACAATATAATTTTTATATATAATTTTTTTTCAATTTTTAAGTGAGTTATGAGCATTTTTAATGTACAGCTGTATATTATATGCTCATTACTCACTTAAAAATTGAATTATCGTAAAAAACCAACGTACAAACACAGATAACGTACTTACCATTCACTTTCATAATAGGTCGATTCGCTGTAATTTTTAAACTAAAGGAGCTACAAGTGTTCTGGCTGTTCTGCTGATCGTTAATTTGCTATATTACGCACTGGTAAGACGGATACAACAAATATCACTGTTACGAGTGTTACGTACTCTTAAGTATGAGTGTATGAATTAATAGACAACAATTTATTTCTATTATTATTATTAATCATGTGAAATAAAATCTAATAAAACATTAAATTATAATTAATAATCATACATAAAATGTGTGTTCCTACTTATACCACTTAAATGTATAAATTATGTTATTTCTTATTTGTACTATTGTACCGAGTACTATAATGTAGTATGTACCAACTTTAGGTGGGGACTTAACAGTCTTTAATAATAAAAATCATTTGCCAAATATTAAAAGATATATATTTTTTTAGTTAACATATTATATGGATAATATATTTAACTGATTTTTTAGATCATATACTAGTACATTATTATCAAAGGCTTACAAAAATACTTACTTAAGCGACTTAATTAAGCCACTACAAAGAAATAATCAGACAGTTGTTAGCTGTTACAGTAGCGTACTAGCGTACCCACGGCTGATGAATTCTTACGGGAGGGGGATTTAGCATGTATACGACTTTCTGGTAGACATTTTTGTTTTTCATAAATGTGGAGAAACTTATGAGGAATCTTTTATTAATATTTCAAATTTAAGATACCTAAAGGATTCTGTTTTTAAAATGTGTCATAATGTTTATTCTATACAAGTTAAGACCGCCGTGCATTGTCAATATTATCGTGTATTGGTGTATTAAACATTTATACTATTATATGAATTATGATACATATATATATGTCCCACGAAGATTTACCCATTACGATATCTCACGAAATAATTTAGATATCGAAATTCTGGTTTTATAATAAGATTCACAGGGATAAGAACTACGATTATTTCATTTTTTAATCTATTTTAATGTTTTTGTAAAAAATATATTTTTTTGTTTAATTATTTCCAAAAATATTAAAGATAGCCATTTTGTAGAGTTTATTTTTCTGAAAATATTGACGTTTCAAAATTTTATTTTCATTAATTTCCTGATTTTTAATATTTTTTCTAGTTTTGAAGAAATAAAATATGATTATAATTTATAAATTATAACTATTAGGAAGATGAAAGGTATAATTCAGCCGGCTGTATAATGGGAATGCGCGCGGCGCGGCGGGTCACATGTTTGATAACATTACGGTGTTAAATAATTCCCAATATTTCTCGAAACTAAAAAAAATATTAAAAATCAGAAAATAAATGAAAATAAAATTTTGAAACGTCAATATCTTCAGAAAAATAAACCCTACAAAATGGCTATCTTCGATTTTTTTGGAAATAATTAAATAAAAAAATTATTTTTTAACTGTTGACCAAAACATTAAAATATGAAATAATTGTAATTCTTATCCCTGTGAGTCTTATTACAAAACCAGAATTTCGATATCACCATTATATCGGGAGATATTGCAATGGATAAATCCTCACGGGACACTCTGTATAGCTAATCATGACATTGACTATATTTCTTAAAAAAATAAATTTTTTCAACTTTTGCCATATTAATTATTTAAGTTCCATATATTTAAGAATATAATATTATGAATAAAAGAAAGAATAATTAAAGTAGTTTATTTATTTATTTAGTTCCTCTAAAAAGTGAAAGAAATTCCATTGTCTTAACATAAAAATGAACTACGTTCCCGTTAGATCCCTAAAAACAGTTTAAACAAGTTTTTTTTAAAGCGCTGCTTCCTAATATTGCAGCTATGAATAACCTTGTAATAATTTTATTAAATTTTCAAGTTTTTACCTAGCAAACTTTTATTTGTTGGGAATAATTATAAAATAAAACTCAAAATTTTGATATGACTAAATGATGAGTCAACATGAATTAAAATTTAGAAAGTTTTATGGTGTATGTACTAATGCACATGTTTAGTGAAAATTGTATGATACATACATGGTAAGTTTTTTTAAATTTGCATATAAATCCAAAATCGATTTTGTCGAAAACCTGTTAGACGTAAAAATTCTCGTTTTACCTTATTTATTTATTTTTATTTTCTCAGCTGAATTATATTATTAATTATTAATAATATTACATGTTAAAAAATCAGACACATCCCGTCGTTTCTCAAGACAATTATTTAACGTCTGCACTGATTACATGCTAATAAAAAATATTGTTTTTAATATTTTAATATTATACCTATCCTTAATATTTTTAAATCATTGATATACCTTATGAGGAATCTTGTATTATATTTTTAAGCGTTTTGAACGAACAAAGAATGTAAAAAAAAATATCGAAAATGTCTCATACTCTCAAGCCTATTATAAGTATCATAACTCAAAAAGAGTCAAAATATTTTAGAAATATTATTTTATCATGTTTAGAAAATGCTATAAACATTTTTAATTGAAAATGTTACACTGAAATTACTTACCTACCATAATACATAATATATATAACCAAATGGTACACTAAAATTTTTAAATTTTGAATTTGGTGGGTGGTAACTAATATTCATATTAGCAGGGGAATATTATTATGTATTACTTCTCAAAAAGGTAGTCTCACATTGTAAAATCAAGGTAAGAGGAGTTTAAAATATGTAAGTAGGTATAACGTATAACTGTAAAAGACTTGATAATGTTATAGTGTATAATGCCATTTGGCCTAATGTTGTCTAACGATTCAGACCGACATATATTCAGTGATTAGTGACTATTAAGGTAAGTATGGTTCATGGATTGTATACTTTGGAGAGGGCGCGATGCAACCATTTAAAAATATTATGGTAGTAGTGTAGACAACTAATAACTAACTGGTGTCCTAGTTTTAACTGTTTTAAGAATTAAGACATACATATTTTTTCATATACATATATAAATGTTAACACTGAGTAAACGAAATTAGAAAGTCGGCTCTACGACAACACAGTGGTTGAATTGGAAAAAAAATTAAGGTAGACTCTAAATGAAGTTAAGAGGACGCTACACCCGCATGTGTAACACATGTGTTGTCTCCGTCTTACAAGTGCGTAACATTGCAAAAACTGTTTCGCGCGGGAAAGAACCAAGAAAGCTAAACGAAATTTTCACCACATAAAAAGGAGAATTTTGTCTGTGTAATATCGTTTATATTTTTTCGATATCAGAACTACAAAAAAAAGTTTTCATGCTTAAAAAACACAAAATTAATGTATTATAAAACAATAAGATTTTTTTTTGTATAAGTGATATCGGAAAAATAAAAACATTTTAAACGATATTGCACTGACAAAATTCTCCTTTTTATGTGGTGAAAATGTCGTTTCTTAGTTATAATTGTATCTTTCTCGATTCTTTCTCGCGCGAAACAGTTTTTGCAATGTTACGCACTTGTAACTTGTAAGACAGAGACAACACATGCGGGTGTAGCGTCCTCTTAAACAATTAGCGTTCCAAAGCAAAATTATATAATAGTATTATCTCTATTCCTTAATGAATATAATTAAGGACCAAACTAAGGGGTACGTAGGTATATTTTAATCTATTCTGTGGTGGTTCTGTGGTTCTAGTGGTTCTACTCACTAGTTTCTACTTTTCCATGAAAGTCGTTTATCTCCTCCTTATATTTGGACCACCACGGCTTAAGATAGAACTGATAGCACAGAATATATTGTTCTGTGATACAAATATTATGTGACCGTGATGTGGAAATATTTAAATTATTCTGATTGCGTTTATCACAATATGGAATTGTCCTCCAAATTTGAAATATTCTTATCAAATATCCATCGTTACAGGTAATACTGTAATAGGTATTTCCAGTTTCCACTTTTTTCGTCTGAAGTCGTTTTTTATTCTTATTTCGTAGTATGATCAAAGATCGATAAACAAAAGTCAGTATTTCGGTTTTATTACTGGACGTCATAATTATTTAATTCTTAAGAAAACGTAAACTAAATTCCAGGTAAAAATTGATATCTAGTTGTTCAAAGGACATCGCT